ATGATGGTGACGATGATGATGACGATGACGATGACGCTCATGATGATGATGATGATGGTGATGATGATGATGATGATGACGATGCTGTTGCTGCTTATGATGATGATGATGCTAATGATGCTGCTGACTATGATGATGCTGATGATGATGATGTTGATGGTGGTGATGATGATGATGATGATGATGAAGATGATGATGATGATGATGATGATGATGATGATGATGATGATGCTGATGCTGATGCTGATGCTGATGCTGATGCTGATGCTGATGATGCTGATGCTGCTGATGATGATGATGATGATGATGATGATGATGATGATGATGATGATGATGATGATGATGATGGATGATGATGATGATTGATGATGATGGAGGAGGAGGATGAGGAGGGAGGAGTAGGACTAGTAGGTGGAGGAGGAGGGGAGGAGGGGAGGAGGAGGAGGAGGAGGAGGAGGAGGGAGGTCGAGAAGGAGGAAGAGGGGAGGGAGGAAAAGGGGGGAGGGAGGAGGAGGGAGGAAAGAAGGACGGAGCAGGGAGGGGAGGAGGAGGACAGGAGGGCGTGGAGGAAGGAAGAGGGAGGAAGAGGGAGGAAGAGGAGGGAAGGGGGAGGAGGAGGAGGGGGAGAAGGGAGGAGGAGGAGCAGGAGGAGGAGGACGAGGAGGAGGAGGAAGAGAAATGGGCCCTGTGCTCGGGCCCCCGCGCTGGGCCGCTCCCCGCGCGGGGCGTCGGCGCGTCCTCCCTCGGAGGAGCCGAGCGGCCGCCTCGCGCTCGCTCGGGCCGCCGCCCGCTCTGCCGCCCGGGGCCCCCGAGGGGGCGGCAGGGGGCGATCTCGGCACCTGCTCTCCCGGCGGGGGGCCGCGTGCCCCTCGCAGATAGGGAGCCCACAGAAGGACGTACGCGCCCGGCTATGTAAGTGAACACGGCCCTTCGATCTGCGAGACTGGCCGCGGTATACGCACATTTGCTCAACGCGTGCTCTGGAAACCAGCGTGGATTCATGTACGTGTACGTCCTTTTCTCGCTCCTGCGCAGGGGAACGGACAGCGACGCAGGCATTCGCAAAAATCGGCGCCCGCGGCGGGCTCGTTGTCCAGAAGGTGTGCACAAAACCCTGGCGCCTGCGGCGGGCTTCTCCAGGAGTCTCGCAACCTGCCGACGTACCCCTACCGCCCCCTCGAAGGTGTGCAAAAAACTCTGGTGCCTGCGGCGGGCTTCTCCACGGGTCTCGCAACCCGCCGACGTCCCCACCGCCCCCCTCGCTCTTCTCCGCACCTGCGGGGGGCTGCGTTAACATTCAAACTCCCAGGTCCGCGCGGGTTCCTCGCATCGGTGCCGGACCCCCCCCCCCGAGCGGCGCCTCCGGCGCCGCTCGGGCCGCCCCCCGCTCGGCCGCCCGAGCCCCGAGGGCGGCAGGGGGCGATCTCGGCACCTGCTCTCCCGGCAAGGGGGGGCCGCGTGCCCCTCTCCGTGGCGGGGGCGGCAGGGAGGGGCACCCAGAGACAGGAGGAGGCAGGAGGAGGAGGAGGCAGGAGGAGGAGGAGGAGGAGGAGGAGGAGAAAACCCGACAGGACAACCTTTGGCCATTCACTCTCGACCACCGGGGGTGCTTACGTCAGGTTCCGGGGCCGTCCAAGGACGGTTCGGGCGGAGTGACTTAGCTTTAGGTCTTTAGGTCGGGCCTGTCCCCCTACAGGGGCAGTTACTGTGTTTGCATCGCCCAACTGCGGAGGGACCTGCCCGACTTAAACTCAGCTCTCAACAGTTGTGTGCTGCGCCCTCGCCTCTTTGCAGGCCTCCGACGCTCCAGGCTATGGGGGCCAAGAGGCGCCGAGCCGAAGGCTCCCCCCGAGAGGGCCTCCGAGAGGCCTCAAAGAGAGAGCTCCAGGACGGCCCGAGAAGGCTCCAAGGCTTCTGCTGCTCCAATTGCACTTCAAGACCACATCCCAGAAATATTTTCGAGCACCCGGAAAAGTATCGAAAGAGTGTCGAAACAGGGTCGGACGAGTCTCCCACGGCCCGACACGTGAAAACCATCGAGCTTCGGTCCTTTTCTGGTGCTCGAAATTCTTTCTGGTGATCAGGGCTCAAGTCGGTTGAAACATGCTAATCCAAACCCCAAGGCGGCCCCAATATAAGGCCCAAAGAGTGGAACACGTGCTTATAGAAGTCGAGCCCTCTGCCCGAAAAGACCCCTGGCAAGCCCCCTTGTCGCTGCTGGCTCTGCGTCGGGTCGCTGTGTGCCGATTGTTCACGGCTCACCAGCCGAAGAGCGATAGTATGCATGAACCACTTAGGACGAGTTCCATGACAGGAATAGCAACTCGAAAATATTCGGGGCTGCGAGCACGTGGCAAATAATCTCAACTTTGGTGTAGTTTTCCCGGCCTTCGTGAAAAGCAACCACGGTCAACTCAACCATTATAAAGTAAGCATCTCACCCAGAAAAGAGCACTGAAGAACCACTGGCAAGTTCCGAGAAAAGGATGCGATATGCATACACCAGACGCTGCACATAGGGATGGAAGGCAAGGATACAGGACCATTAGGCGTATAAGTTGAACATAAGTTCAAGGACGGGACAGCAAAGTGACAAAAAACGGGCCAACCATGCAGTGGTGCCCAGGCAAACTGGGAAACTCAAACCAAAGCCTCATACTCATCATGGGCGGTGGCATCCCAGGCCAGAGAGGCCCCCGCAGCCCCCCCCGAAGCCTAAAAATCTCCCTCAGAATATCTAGAGGACTCCCATGTTGAAAGCGAATGCATGGGTTCAGAGTCTCGCGCCGCACCGGTGAGGTATCCACGATGCATCGTCGATGTACTGGCGACGTCGGCGGTGCATCGGCGACGACGGCACGGAGAAACTCGGGATCCACATCGAGCCTCCCGGATGCATCGGCGATGCGGCGCGATCTTTCGACCACGTCGGCTCGGACCCCAGCTGGGAGGCCTAAAATGTCCACAAAAGGTTCTGGCACACGACCCAGGCACGTTCAAGCGGTCACAACCCTTTCTTTCTCGCCCCGTCTCCGCCTCCTGTGCTCAATCCGCTCACTTTCCAGAGTCGCGGGGCTGGCAAGAATACCTGGGCAATCCTTTCGGGGCCTGATTCCTCATAATGGGCGGAGGCTGAGTCGGAATGGGCCGGGATGGGGAACAGGGTTACACGGCAACTTCTACGACATCTTCGTACGAACGATTCAAGTCTATTGACCTGTGCTAGCAGGCAACTGGGCCAAATTAGGCCGGACGAAACACGGGATCCAGCCATCTAGAACGGGACTGGCCAGAATAAGCGGGACTATGCCAAATCAAGCTGGCCATCAACCACGGAACTTCTAGCGCCGACTCTGAACTGAACATCCTGGAGATGCAGACAAAAACAAGAAAGGGGGAACAAACACATACCGATACCACTGCTCCGTAGGACCTCTCCCAGGGCGCGATTTGACTAGGACTTCGACGCAATCCGGCCGTGGCGACGAGGAGTGGATAATCCGCGTTTTTTTTATTCGGCGTTTTGACATTGAGCGAAGAAGGGGGGAAGGGGGGGGGCTCCGGACATCTGCTTAATTGCGTCTGTTTGCAAGGGTGCGTCCTGCGGAGGAGACTCCACCTGCTCGAAACAGGCGCCAACAAGAACAGCCGAGCTCTACTCCATAAGGGGGAGGGAGGGGGGATGCGCGGGCCCGCGTCGATCGGCAAAACAAGGAATGCGAAAACGACGACATAGCGGCATCGGTACCTGTTCCTCCTAGGAAGCAGGGGTCCTGAAGCAAACGCCCTGGACCCCCCGTGGCCTGCTGGCTTACTCCCTGGAGCCCCCGGGCGTGGCCTGCTGGCTTCCCGGCTTCCCCTGGCGCGCGCGCGCGCCCGCCCGCCCGCGGGCCTGAGGGGCGCCCTCTCTGGCAGCCTGCGGCGGCCCTGAGGAGGGCTGTGCACTGACTCGAGAGCCTTGAGCTTTGAGCCAAAAGGGCTACGAAGACGTCAGCGTTTTCTTATTCGGCGTTTCGACATTGGGCAGAAGTGGGGGGTCTGGCTCTGGACCTCTGCTTAGCGCGACTGTTAGCAACAGTGTTGTCCATCATGGGGGGGGGGGCTCGACCTGCTCGAAGCAGGCGCCAAAAATAGCCAAGATCTACTCCACGGGGTCGGGGGGAGGGGGGGTGCGAGGGCCCGCGCCAAATCGGCAAAACAGTGAATGAAAAACGATCACGAGAATCACAGGGGATATGCGGACCCCCACCCCAGGCTTCGTGGCGGTTCCGAATGGACCAGAAATTTTGGGGCGCAACGCTGCGAAGTGCGATGGGGCGGCGTCCCCCCTCGACAGGGATGCGTCCGAACAGTCCCCCTTGGGGTGTATCCCAGAACTTCCACCGTTCTGCTGAGCGGCCAAAACTTTTCGGGCAGAACCCGTGGAACTGGGGGAGATAAGACGCCTGTGAAGAGTGAGGTTGCATGCTCCTGCTGTGGACCTTCCAGGAGACACTTGCTTCAGTATTGCGCCGCTGCGCGAAGCTGCGCGTGGCCGACAGCGGCTGCGGTCGGGGGCGCGCAACCATGGATTAGCGCTTCATGGAGTTGGCGCGCAGTCGCCAAATCCATGCATCGGGGGAGGTGCCCTCGCCAACATACGGCCGGTACGGCCTCGCTCGGCGGCGGAGATCCGCGATTTTTTCCATGGAATCGGGACCCGTCGCTTATCCACGCCCCCTTGATCCTGGTTTGCGACCGCCTGCTGCGGGTCCTCTCGCCTCTTTGAGCAGGGACCGACCGTTCTCAGAACCCCGTTTGAGCATTCTTTTAGTCGTACCACGGAATGTTCTCAGAACCCACACATGTTCTAAGAACCGAAACACTGTTCTTAGAACATGAACCCGATGTGTCAAAACAAGACAATATCAGCCAGAAATGTTCTAAGAACAGTTCGTGGAAACCACAAAAGATTCTTACGACATCGTTTGGCAGGGCTATCGGCGAGCCAGGACGCTTCGTCACTGCTTGGCCTCTTTCTGTGCCTCGGCGTCCCCGCGCTCGCCGCGTCCCCCAGCCGCAGCCGGCGCCGCAGCGGCCGCGCTCCCCCCTTCTCCCGCGGCCGAGGAGCGGCCGCGAGCCGCGCGGCTCCGGCGGCAGTGGCACCGGGGCGGGGCTGGAGCGCCCCCGCGGGGAGCCGAGGGAGGACGGGTGCCCCCGCGGTCTGGGGAGGTGAGCAGAGGCACAAAGGAAGCAGGAGGGCGGTCGTGGTCGTCGTCGTCGCCGTCGTCGTCGTCGTCGTCCTCCTCCTCCTCCTCCTCCTTAGCATCAGCATCAGCATCAACATCATCATCATCATCATCATCATCATCATCATCATCATCATCATTATCATCATCATCAGCATCATCATCACCACCATCAACATCATCATCATCATCATCAGCATCATCATAGTCAGCAGCATCATTAGCATCATCATCATCATCATCATTAGCAGCAGCAGCATCGTCATCATCATCACCATCATCACCATCATCATGAGCGTCATCGTCATCGTCATCATCATCGTCATCATCATAACTATCATCATAATTATCGTCATCATCAGCATGAGCAACATCATCATCATCATCATCATCATCATCATCATCACCACCACCACCACCACCACCACCACCATCATCATCATCATCATCATCATCATCATCATCATCATCATCATCATCATCATCATCATCATCATCATCATCAGCATGGGGCCGTAGCTCGGCTCTCTGGCGGCCCTTCGGGACGATTCGGGCCCCCATGGCACGATCCCAGCCGGGTTCCGCCGCTGGAGGGCGTCCCGAGGCCGGGGAACGAATGAGAACCTGCGGCGAACAAGCCTGGAAACCTGATGCTGTAGGATTGGGTGCCCCCCACCTGTTCAGCGGGGACCGACCAGTCCCGACACTTCCACATGCTTGCCACGAGATGTTCTGGTAACAGCAGGCGGCTCCAATAGCAAGAACAAGGCTCTAAACATTCAACAGCGATGTGGAAAACAGAACCGTCTCAGCCAGACCTGTTTTGATCATATCTTATTTCGTGTCTACCACATCATGTTCTTCTTACACTCTCGGGTGGGCCTATAAGAAAGTCAAGACGCTTCGCCACTGCCTGATCCTGAATGTATTTCTCCTGTAACAAAAAGGGGTGACCGAAATGGGCACGGAATCTGTGGGTGCGAAGACCAACCAAAAATCCTGGCAATTTGGAAACGGAATCGCTGTCAGTGTCGACGCGAACGTTTCCCATTTGATTCTTGAGGTCGCCTTTGCCCAAGAACGGCCGCTGTAGGTTTTGGACAACGACTTTTGTTGGGCATCGTAACTATTTTTCCGTACCCATTCCGGGCGCCCAAACTTGGAGGCAGCCGGAGGGTCTGAACTGGTTGGGACCTCAGAAAATATGTCAGGAGGGGGGAAGGGTGAAACCAAATCCGTTCAAAATCGCTCCGCAGACCGTCCCGGGGTGCATCTGGTGTTAATTTCCATCCAGGATGGATGCAGTTCTGACGGTCCCGGGGCCTGCGAACGGCTTCCAGAGGCTGAAAAAAGGCAACACAAAACATTCTCGAACCCAGAACCTCGAACTTGCCCGCCCTTCCTGCTGGCCGGAACCAGCGCTGGGCCACCTCAGACCTCCAGGCAACCCCAAGCCCAAACCAGCCTGGCACCGACTCCTCGATAGCTCTTCTCGTCCCGGAGGCACCGCCGCGGGAAGGCGCGCCCCCCCTCCTGCGCGGCGAAGAGCGGCTTGCTCGTCGGGGGCGTCCACAAGGGGGTGGGCGTCCAAAAGGCGGGGGGGGGGCTCGAAAACCATGGCCCGTCAGTGCGCGCGGGCGAGGGGAAGGCGTGCGGCCGAGGAGGAGATTTTGCATACATCAATGAGCGGTCAAAGGGCTGATACAAGGACCCCTGACCCTTTTGGAGGGGACCTAAGTTAGGAGGGCCTGGAACATTAGGGATAGTTTTTTTTCCTGCAGATGTGTCGAACCAAACTGCCCTGATGTCGGAAGTTGGGGGGGTGAGTCCGACGTGAAACGGAGACACGCCCTACCGGGAAATCGATTTCGGTTTCGGGTTCGTGTCGTGCGTGCCGTGCGTGCGTGCGGGCGAGGCGAAGCTGCGTGGGCGGGCGAAAAAAAATCCATCTGTGGCTGGGCCGCGGCCGGACCAAATGTTTCTCCTCCGGCGGCCGGTGGCCCGCGGTGTCCCGCCGGTGTCCCGCTGGTGTCCCGCAATTCATCTGTACGTGGCTGGGCCGCGGCCGGACCAACTGATTCTCCTCCGGCGGCCGGTGGCGCGCGGTGTCCCGCCGGTGTCCCACTGGTGTCCTGCCGTGGCTACGGCGAGCTATCTAATGCAAGTCTTCATGCAAAGCGAAATTCAAACCGAAAAGCACATCGAAAAGCAAACCAACATGCATTGCGGACGCGCTTCGTCAACATCGCCACATCACATCACGCTCACGATCACAATCACACTAATTACTCACTAGACTGCGCACCACAGGCATCGTCAGAACAACAGTAACCACTGTTGCCCATTGCTGCCCCCCCAACCTCCGTATCACCCGCAGGGTGGTCGCATAGGTATTATCCCTAATGCGAAGACGGGGACCCCCCAGTGAGACTACTACGTCTTCATCGTGGTATTGGGGTTGCGGATCCATTATTATCCCCAATGATTGACGGACCTTCTGGACGGACCGTCGGCTGTGAGTGTCGCAGGAGCTGCCCACCTCTGCTGGGCAGGCGCCCCCGAGGCAGGCCGGGGGACGCACGGCCATCGTGCAACCATCGGGAACAGCCCGCGAGGGACGAAGGAGCCCCTCTCTGACCACGCCCAGCCGGGGCCGCATGAGTAATTAATGAGGAGGAATGTCGGCGGCGAGCCCGGGGGGAAGTGAGAATGAGGGGCAACGATAGGCATAGGGGGGGGAAACATCGATCACGAATGGGCGATACATCGCGATAGCTCGGCGCCATGCCCCCGAAAGTGAATCCGCACGTTCTTGGGCAGGCTGGGCCTATCGGGCCCATATCGTCGATCAGTGGGCGATTGGGGGTCGATGCATTCCCTCTTAAGCCTGTCCCCCCCATCGATGCCCCTGAGAGAAGGGGCGGGCCTTCTCAGAAGGCTCGGAAGCCCCCCCGCCTTCCGAGACATTTTTTCTAAGCCTTTCCCGACGACGCAGAACAAACCTCAGAAGGCCTGGGAGGCCCGCCCCCCTCTGAGAGAATGACTCCGCCTTCTCCATTCTCCCCCCCTCTCGCTCGCCGCCGAGAAGAGCGGTCCGACAGCACCGGAGCCCCTCCTGCTCCCCGGGGGGGGGGCGTCCAGGGGGAAAGACACCCCGCCGCCCTCTGAGAAGGCCTTCGCCTTCTCCTTTCCCCCCCTCGTCGCTCGCCGCCGAGAAGAGCGGTCGGAGAGCACCGGAACCCCTCCGAGTCCCCCAGGGGTGGTCCTGCTACCAGGGGGGGGGGGCGTCCAGGGGAAACACACCCCGCCGCCCTCTGAGAAGGCCCTCGCCTTCTCCTTGCTCCCCCCACGTCACTCGCCGCCGAGAAGAGCGGTCCGACAGCACCGAAGCCCCTCCAAGACCCGCTGGTCCTGCAGGGGGAAACACACCCCGCCTCCCTGTGAGAAGGCCCTCTGAGAAGGCCTTCGCCTTCTCCTTTCCCCCCCGTCGTCGCTCGCCGCCGAGAGGAGCGGTCCGAGAGCACCGGAGCCCCTCCAAGACCCCGTGGTCCTGCAGGGGAAAACACACCCCGCCGCCCTGTGAGACAAGGCCCTCGCCTCCCCCTTTCCCCCCCGTCGTCGCTCGCCGCCGAGAGGAGCGGTCCGAGAGCACCGGAGCCCCTCCAAGACCCCGTGGTCCTGCAGGGGAAAACACACCCCGCCGCCCTGTGAGACAAGGCCCTCGCCTTCAGTCGGGCCTGTCCCCCTACAGGGGGACTTTCGACGATCCAAAAATAGTATGGGAACTACAGTTTTAGTATTTGTTTAGCCTTTTTTGGAGCATTATGTTGGCATTTTAAATTAATCGTCGAAAATCCCCCTGTAGGGGGACAGGGCTGACCTAACCCTCGCCTTCCCCTGTCCCGCCCTCGTCGCTCCCCGCCGAGAGGAGCGGTCCGAGAGCACTGGGCCTCGCATAAGACCATACCCCCCGAGGCAGGCGCACGCCCGCGGGGGGGAGGGGCGGCCAGGGCAGGGGGCGGGCGTCGCGCGGCGGCCTATCGGGGAGGCCCTCGCGATGACGCCGCGCCGCCCCAGGCGAGGCCCAACACTGCTGGGGCCCAGGGGCACACACAGAGAAGTAGACTTCAGTCGGGCCTGTCCTCCTGCAGAGGGGTTTTGGACGAAAAATTAAAAATACCCCAAAAGTGCCCCAAAAATGTCAGACAAGGCTCGAAAGACCGTCCGCGGACGATGTTTTCAACTATTTTTGAATACTCCCCCTGTAGAGGGACAGGCCCGACTTAAAAATAGACACTCGCGCACAAGTCCCAGGACTCCCCATATCTGTCCGTATCTTCTGGGTGCCCGTCTTTCCCCCCCAACACTTCCCATAGTTGCCCAGGTTTTCCTGGGGATCGACGATTAATTGTGTCAGTATGTTTCTTTCCCCTTCCTGAAACACAAAGCTGGATCACGCCATCGGGACTGGGCGCAAAATTGAGCAGGACAGTGGCGGATGATGCCGGGCTTCCACGCAAAGGATACCTATACGACCGCCCTGCGAGTGACAAGGAGGTTGAGGGGGAAGGAGGCTGTCAGGCCGCGGCGGGACACGAGCGGGACACCAGCGGGACACCGCGGGCCACGGGCCGCCGGAGGAGAAACATTTGGTCCGGCCGCGGCCCAGCCACAGGAAGATTTCGAGACACCTGCGGGACACTGGCGGGACACCGCGGGCCACTGGCCGTCGGAAGAGAAACATTTGGTACGGCCGCGGCCCAGCCACAGGAGGACTTCCTCTCGCCCGCCCACGCAACTTCGCCTCGCCCGCACGCACGCACGGCACGCACGACACGAACCCGAAACCGAAATCGATTTCCCGGTAGGGGGGGTGTCCGTTTCACGTCGGACTCACCCCCCAACCGCCGACGACCACCCTGCGGGT